CAAAAACTGAACGTTTTAGTAAAATAAAAAGACATTTCATTCGAATTTACAAAACATTTTTTGCGTCCAAGACATTGTATTCATTAGGGTAATACAAAAAAAAAAACAAAAAAAACAAAAAAAAAAANAAAAAAAAAAAGCCAGAAAATTCAGTGAAATTCCTTTTATTCACAAGGCAATTTTGTGTCCCATTCACAATAACACGAAGAGGTTTACGATTAATATATATACCTATTGCGAACATTTCAACTACGATTCTTAATCAATTGAATTCGTTATCAAAATTTGAATTAAGTGTCGGTAATAAATGAGAAAGAAGATGCATGCGGCCTAGTGGAGCCGACTCTCGAAGGGCTTCCTTACTTAGTAGCATTTTGATTGGTTGGTGTGCCTCGTCTTTTGATTGGTTCATAGCGGAAGCCATTTAACAGTGACAGTAACGGTGACATTTCCCACTTATAGATGCATTATTATAGATAACTTATTATAGATGACTTATTATAGATGCATGCATTTGAAGCGCGCGAAAATTAGTCAAAACTGCCCCTTTGGGGAGAGGAGAGATCAGGAGAAAATTTCAATATGGCTCAGAAGAGTTATTTAAAAATCTGTGTGCGTTCATTAACCGAATAAACTGACATTTTTATTTGAGGAGATATCTTTTTAATCATTTTTACACTATTTATCTGGATTTACATGGATTTTTTGTTGATCAAATAGTCGTTTGAAATCTAATAACCTAGAAAAATAAGTCGTTCGTGGTAGTCCACAGATATCAAAGACAATATGAAATAAATTCTGTTTGCAGTCGTTTACTTCCGCGATTCAGTAGTTATTGACTGTGTGAATTAAGGATGATTCATGGTTTTCTTTGAATGATTCACCGACTTCCTTTGACGGTGATCCGCCTCAATATGGCTGGGATAAGAGATCAAATACAGGTGCTTCTTGAGGTATGTTTCAAAATAAAGTTCAAAACACACTAAGATCACTATTACAGGATGATTGGTGTTTCTAAATAAAGTCAAAAACACAGTAAGATTACTATTACAGGATGATAGGTGTTTCTAAATAAAGTTCAAAACACGCTAAGATTACTATTACAGGATGATAGGTGTTTCTAAATAAAGTTCAAAACACACTAAGATTACTATTACAGGATGATTGGTGTCTAGTTTGAAGGCTTTACGTGACACTACGTGACAGACTGCCTTGAGTAAGCAAACCAATGACGTTAACTGGGAAGTAGTTAGTTAGATTTAGTTGCAATCATTTATAAAAAAAGAAAAAAAGTTTGACGGAATTAACAAGAATGAAGTGATTTATACTAAAATAAGTTTTTGTATAATTGTGAACAAATTCATTACAATATGTGTGTTATGACCGTGGTGACCGTACAATGACTGATTTTACATGTCCTTGTCTTGCGCATGCGTGGCCCTAATGTATCTTGCGTTACATTTGAATGAATAGTACAGAATTTTTTCGGCTTGGAAGTTTTCATCCCTGACGGGATCGCTGTGGTTTTTTCTTACTTCATCGTTAGAAAATTCTTCTTCCTGAAAATAAAGCTTCAACTTTATCGAAACCCTGAAACAACCTCTGAGCTGATCTAAGTCAGGGCATGGCTAACTCACAGATCGAACCCTGAAACAACCTCTGGGCTGATCTAAGTCAGGGCACGGCTAACTCACAGATCGAACCCTGAAACAACCCCTGGGCTGATCTAAGTCAGGGCATGGCTAACTCACAGATCGAACCCTGGAACAACCTCTGAGCTGATCTAAGTCAGGGCACGGCTAACTCACAGATCGAACCCTGAAACAACCTGTAAAATCCTAGCCAATCAAATCTGCAAATCAAACTTTGAGGAAGTCAGCCAATAGGATGCTTCAAATCTATGGGGATATTTCCTATCAAAACTTAATGAAATCTTTTCGTAGCTTCCTGATAAAAGTACAAATTAGCCCAACGAGGAAAGGAGATCTATTAATTTTAAGATATGTTGGTCGTCTTGTGTGTTTGAACTAATATCACTGACAGTAAACAACGTTTGGAAGAAATGACATTTTGGTCATTCTTGACATCAATCGTTTATAGATCTTCGTGACTTGGGCGCGATGTTTTTCAATTTTTTATTCCTTTGAGCACGAAATTATTTGCTCAATTTACCTCCAAACTAATGCACCTTCTTAAAAGTTGTCTTAATTATAATAATAATAATAAAAAAAAAATACTGAAGAGAATGACACGTGGTCTGAAATAAGGAAAACATCCAGACGCCCAAACTAAAGAGTTCAATTCCATCTGTGAGTTTGCACGTGCCGACTTTGATCAGCCAAGATGTTATTCAAGCTATCAATGAATTAGAAATTTTATAAAGAGCTTTTGGAATACGGGGTAAGCGAGGATCTCCTAATGAAAAGATCTTTAAAAGTCTGTGAAAGACTTACGGTAACTGCTGCTCTCGAAGATGTTGATTGGACGAGCATTATGATTCGCGCACTGTGATTGGCTTAACGAACTGTCATCATTACCGCGACCGTGGCGCTAGTCGTAAGTCTTCACCAGCATCAATGCCAATCACGACTAACTTTTCATACTGTTTGGTTTGTTCTAGTACCAGTAACTTATACCCATTCACAAAAAGGTCATGTCGATATCAATGGTATTATGTTATATATATAGCAGTTATAGCAGTTATTAATAGATTTTTTTGAGCCCTGACGATCAGTAATGATTATTGTCTTGTTTTCTCATAAATATACATTTTCCCACGGTAGTTTTCGCTTTTCTCCACAAAAAATAATAAGGCGAAATTCAAGGCTAATAACCTTGAAATGTTTAGTCATAAAGAAAGATCAAATTTTTTAGATTTCTAGCGCAATAATGTTTATATAGTTTTGGTCCCACATACATTCTGTCCATTCTTTCCGTAGTTTCTTTAGAAAAATTGTCGAAGCGAAAGATTTAAGATTTTGCGCAAAAAAAGGAGTATAAATGCCCATATAATATGTTTATACCTATGACGTAATATTCTGGGCCCGGTTAGTTGTACGAAGGGTTGATAGCGCTATCCAACGGATAAATCCTTATCCAGTGGTTAAGTCGATGCTTTTATCCAATAATTAATCCATTGGATAAGATTTATTCTTCGGATAGCGCTATTCACCCTTCGTACTACCGGGCCCTGTTGATTCACTGAGGAAACGGAACTATATCAAAATAGAACTATGCAAACAGGAAAACATTCCATGGCGTGGTCTAGCAATCCTTCCAACTAATAATAAGATAATCTCGCACAGCATTAAGAAATCGAGTCGACAAATGTATACAGATCGAGGGAGTTTTTTTGTTTCAAGCACGAAGCACGTTGAAATTGTCGAGCACATTTCCTGTATCTTGTTTTGGACATCACGTTCAAGTTGGTTAGACAAAGAAACTTGAACATTCATTCTTTTAATTGAAAAACAGATGATAGCTTTTCTAGTGCCCTGGGGTACAGAGGTTATTTATTCTCGGTCGGGCGTTTGCTGTTTTGAAGGGAAAGAGATTAAATTCCTTGCATTAAGGCCGCACATTCGTTGGATTTACGTTATCCCAGTTGGGTGGAAGTTCAGTTGAGTTTCATTGAGTTTCAAACGAAGRGTCGCGTTACGAAGGATTTTTCAGTAAAGATTTGCGCAATGAGATTGTTTCTTATAAAGAGAAATTGAGATTAAAAGAAAGGAAGACGGACAGACAGACAGACAGACAAAGACATAGACAAAGAGAGTCAAAGAGAGCCTGTGACAAAGAGAATAAAAGAAATAGATGGGGTGTGAAAGAGAGGGATGGAGGGAGGGAAAGAGAGAGAAAAGCAAAGCAACACTAGGAACAGCAATAACAGTTTAATCCTTAATGAAATCAAATTATGAATCGTTGAAAAATTTCAAAAACCATCAAAAACATGTTTTTATTGGTTGCACAGTTTGCGACTAAAACTCGTTTTTATTTTAATTAAAAGTAACCTAAAACCACAGCGTAATACTATCCATAGCAGTATATTTATACTACGAAAGGAAAAGGGATATCAAAAGTTCGCCTGAGGACTTTTCATAATTAGCTGATTTAATTAAGACTGTCGTGTGGGGATCACTCACTGCAACTCTAAGAATCAAAAGCACTCACTCGCAGCATGTTTGCTTTTCATTTCGTCTGACTAGTGTTTTTCTTTCGGGTAACAAAATCAGGAACAGCCAAACTAACTCGTAATTGACAGCTAAACGAGGTAAATTGTTTGAAAGTGTTCTGTGGTTTTTGGCAGAGAGGACAAGAAATGTAAACAGATCAATACTTTATTTCCACAGGCAAGGGAGTGACCCAAGCCAATTAGCTCTGTATTTCTGACCTCTTCCATATCAATACCGTGACTTCTAAGATATTGGGATCAGTAACCTCTAATAATTATAAATATAGCAAAACGGCTAATCCTTGACTCAGACTCTGCGCCACATCCCCGCAGGAAAATATACATTAACTTTTCTTTCTTCGGCCTTTCCCTTCCGATTTTGTCTTCGAAGCGGAAGACATTGCTTCTATTTAGTTCTGGTGCTTAAAGACCGACTGTCAGACACCATTTCGCTAGGATTAAAACTCGTTGAGAGTTTTTATGAAATCTGGTTACAATAGTTCTGCTATCGCTTTTTAAAATGTTAATATCTATTTCTACTGCGCTATGCTGGTGGCTTATAAGAGATATATGATTTGTGACTCATCCGACTTAAGGAGTTTCGCTGGTTGACAGTTTTTTTCCCTAAACGCCACCGCAAAAGCTGGGGAAATGCATCGTTGTCACATACGTGATGAAAAAAATGACAGATTCCTCTGGCGCCGGCAAACAGCGACGACAAGTTGGCTAAAATCGCCTGGTGATATCCCTATTCTAGCAATTTCAAGTTGATAGGCATTGTAAACAATTCAATCAATAGTAATAATCTCAACGTTTTTATCTCGCCTAGGTATATACGCAGCAACGAGCAGCTTGCATGGTGTGAGGTGACACGGCTGAGCCCCTGTCGTATTCCATTACTTGTCTTCAAGAAACAAACCCTCATAGCAAACCTCGACGATCCAAGAACACCTGCTAGGTAAGGAATGCTCTGACGAGTGACGGAGAGCTTTTTTTTTTCAGTGGAAAAATTTGCCATCAGCTTTCATCATCGAGGTTCTTTGGATTCCCAGACGAGTACAGTGAGCACCGGGGATGCCTTCTCTTTCATCTAGACAGTTTATATTTAATATCTCGCTCCATTACGCATTCAAGTACAAACCCAATCGTTACTGAGTTTTCATCGACAAGGCAATTGAACTTTTAAGAGTGCTTTGGTGACCTTGATCAAGTAGCCCGAGCTTTAAGTGGCTTTTTTTCGTCCAATGCAAATAAGCCAGGCAATTCTGAAGTGGATTTAGAGCCGTTTGAGACTGATTTACAGAACATCAATAGATATGGAACAGACGAACGCGTCTATGAGTAACCCAGAGAACAGTTCGCCTTTGGATGATGCTGTTGGGAAAGTTCAATTGGCCGTTTATGTTGTCACGTTTCTCGTTGGATCTGTGGGTAATATTCTCGTTCTTATTATCGTCAAAGGTAAACGCTCAAGGCGAAGTGTCAATGACTTGTACATCATGAATTTGGCTATCGCAGACTTGATGTTTATAGCCTTTTTGCCTATTTACGTGTACAATTGGTTCGTTCCCGCGAAAATGTCGACTGGCATGTGCAAGTTTATTCCTCCGGTGATGACCACGACTTATTGTCTAAGCGTATACACTTTAACGTTCATGGCCGTGCATCGGTGCTATGTCATTCTTAATCCATTCAAACCAGATATGAGACATCGTAATGTTTATATCAGTATTGCAATCATATGGGCTATATCGGCCGTCTTCATCATGCCTCTAGTCGTTGTTGGACGCGCAGAAAAAGGAACTTGCACAGAAATGTGGCCTACAACGGACCACAAGAGAGCCTACACCTTGTCTCTAGTCATTCTACAGTATGTTCTTCCATTGGCTATCATCACCGTCGCGTACATAAGAATCATCTTTGATTTGAACCGCAGCAGCGCTTCGAAGTTCGAACGCCACACCCAAGTCCACCAACAATTCAGGAAAGAAAATCTACAGATAGTCAAGACTTTAGCGACGATAGTCATTTTATTCGCAGTGTGTTTACTGCCTGGACAAATCTGTTGGATGATGGTGGACTTTGGAAGCTCGGATCAAAAGAGCTTGATAATATTTTTTAACGCCAGTGTCATTCTTTCTGCACTTCATAGCTGCTTAAATCCCATCGTTTACGGAACACTTACTAAACAATTTCGACGCGAATATTTGCGGTATTTTTTGTATGTGTTCCGCTGTTGTCGAAAAAGATGGGGTTACAGGGAACATTATACTCAAGGTTGGAATTCACATAATACTAACACTCCACATGAGAACAACAACAAGACAGAAACTGCAGTCATAAGATCTTATGCAATAGATTCTCCGTTGAGGGAGTCCAGGGTGTAAAGATGAGATTAATCCAGGACACCAAATCTTCTATTATGTAATATAGAAATCATAAATATTCCGAGATTTGTATCAGAACTCGGATAATCTTGGATTAGAAAGACATTTTTTAGAGCCGATTTCGAGTCATCATCAGTAGACCTTCGCCGGAGCCAGGCATATCTGGCATTGTTTTTGGTAGATAGATCTCTTGGTGTTGTGCGCAGTTAGTACTGTGAGCATCGCTGGACGCATCGCTCAATTCGGAGGCACAGGATTACAATATTTTTACCGGGTCAGACAACCATTCGACCTTTTTAACTTAGAATTATGGCCGCCTCATTGCGTGTTGTTAATCCTACGGCCACTTCACGTGAGTTTTAGATACACCTCTTCTACCTTAAATGGTTTTGAGAGCCATGCAAAAAATGAGGAGATGGTTTTGTCGACTGCCGGCAGTCTCCTAGTTTTTCTTTCCCTTGATTCGAGCTAGGGCGGTGTTTCCCAATTTTCCCAATTTTCCTCCCTTCGCAAAACCCAACACACTAAAACAGATTCTAATTCAAGCTTTGAGTTAGCCTTGCTCTAGGCTTAGATCAGCCCAGAGTTGTTTGACGCTTCGATCTTTGAATTAGCCTTGCTCAAGGCTTAGATCAGCCCAGAGTTTGTTCCACGCCTTCAATCTTTGAATTAGCCGTGCTCAAGGCTTAGATCAGCCCAAGGGTTGTTTCAGGGTTCACTTATAAAATAAATGTTTGTTTGGGAATAATGGATGCCCTATTTGCCTCCTGTGTCTTAACTAGACTATAAACACATGCATGGGAATCACCCCTGCAGCAGAYTCAGTTAAAAAAACATGTCTCAGATTACAGCTTGGGCTTTTGGCTGACTCTGGGCATTTTAACCATTTCTAGGTTAAGGGAAAAAATGGTTCGAGTTGACCTTGCATACAGTGCTGTTTTAGGGAACATATTTCCAAGATGGCGTCTAGTTTTGTTCCCTAAAACAGCCCCAATTTGCACTGCAGTGGCAACTCGACTCAGTTAAATGGGGTTCTCCCATTTTCCTCCCTTCACAAAACCTAAGATCAACTCAGAGGTCGTTTCAGGGTTCTATCTGTCAGTTAGCCGTGCCCTGACCTTATATCAACAAAGAAGTTGTTTCAAGGTTCGATCTGCGTGTTACCGTGCCCTGTCCTTTCAACCCAGAGGTTGTTTCAGGGTTCTATCTGTCAGTTAGCCGTGCCCTGACCTTATATCAACCCAGAAGTTGTTTCATGGTTCGATCTGCGTGTTACCGTGCCCTGTCCTTTCAACCCAGAGGTTGTTTTAGGATTCTATCTGTCAGTTAGCCGTGCCCTGTCCTTATATCAACCCAGAGGTGGTTTCAGGGTTATACCTGTGAGTTAGCCGTTGCCTGACCTCGATCATGCAGTCCACGAGGTTGTTTCAAGGCAGTCCGCGTGTGAGTAATAGGTGTGCCCTAACTTAGATCAGCCCAGAGGTTATTCTAGTTTAAAATTTGAAGGTTTATTGAAAAATTGTATCAGCACGTACTTTTTTAGATTCCCAAAACCAAAAACCAAATACGATGGTACCCTGTTAGAATGTATCGTCGCGTTTCAGTGTAAACATAGCTAGCTCATGAAGATGATACCTCTTGAAAATGATTGATTTTCTTTATTAATTCTCGAGTGGAAGGCCTAGCTTTTACAAATTTGATCCCCTGATCGGATACGAAAGGTAGCGTGCGAAAAAAATCCACCGGATTTAGCGTGGAACGTCTTCATACATATTACATAAACTGATGAAAGGTTTAGCTTGGTCGACTTCAGTAGAAGTTTAGCCAGGTGGGTAAATGCTTGAGAATCATACTGGTCTCTATCATGAACTTCATAGATGGAAGTGTTCTCCCTAATGATAAGAAAAACCACGCAATGCGTGGAATACTGAAATAACTCTTTAACGTCATTATTGGGTATTAATTTATCTTAACTTATTCCTCGTCTACACTTATCCCGACAATTTTAAAAACGGATTTTTAAAATTCCGTTTTTAAAAAAAATTCTTAGCCACACGAAGCGTTTTCGAATCATTTTCGCTCGTACATACTTATCCGTGTTCGAAAAGTTGCGCGGTTTTTCGATTGGGGTATCAAGTGGCCAATCTGTTAAGATTATTTTTTCAAAAATATCCTGTTACGTGTGGCAAAGCCTTAGAAATAAAACAATCTTATTTTTTTTAGTAAGTTGTAGATATTAGTAATGTTCTCCAATTAAAATCGGCTGTTTGCACGAAAGGCCAGAAAAAAAGGCCAATTAATTCGTGCTCAGTGTTTCTTGTAAGTAATAAGAATCACTCCTCACTCTAGGCTTTTCCTTTGGCAATTGTAATCTTGTTCGTAATTGCTAAGAAGCTTTGATGAGCTGTCATAATAGCTGGCTAGAACTGATAAGAATATATCAAAAACAAAAGTAAACAAATCTAAATATTTATGACGCAAACAAAATACTGAATCAATCAGCCAAAAATTACCGACCACCCACCGACCACACACCGATAGGACCATTCGGTTGTTCTCACCATCTTGTCATGATCGGTCACAGTTCGTTTGTCAGCAGATCATTATCTTTTTCCATTCAAACGTTAGTTTCAGGAAATTCTAGCATTTTTGGCGGGTTCTATCGTATCATTCATTAGCCCTGGCCTGGCTGGTTTTATTGAGAACACAGAGAGGGAAACTGGGGAGAGGTTTATAATCCCCGAGCCCACCCGCCCCCAGATGAAAATTGCCACCCGGCTTGATTCGACAAATTCACAACAAGGCGCCCTATAGGCGTTCACTGGGTTGCCTGTATCATGCGCAGAGACCTGGTACAACTGACGAAGTTTGCAGTGTTAGTCAAAGTAATGGAATGTTTCACAGAAAAGAATAATTTTGTCTAACCCTAACCTCTCTTAAGGTTTTCTTTACATAATATTAAAGTAATTGGAGGTTCTGCCCTTTTTTAGGCTATAAAATAAACAGTTTTGCGTTATGCATGTCACACTACTTGTGAATTTGATCTTGCGCCATGACGCAACAAGATCAAATATCCCAAAGTTTTCAGTCAGAATCACCAATTAATTTTCTTATCTTCTTACCATCCTTTGTTATTATATTATTCCTTGTCAGAAAATGCAGAAATTGCGCAATAGTACCAAGAAGTCTTCAACGCACAACCCAAGAGTCCTTTGCGGGCATATGATATAGAGATCCAAGTGCAGTAAATGTTCTTGTCAGTAAACTTTGTCAAAAAAGAAAGGAAAGCATAGCTCTACTTTTCACGGATCGATATTGCTTATATGACTGATAACGTCTGATCGAAC